TCACTATGTTGTATGTAAACTTACATAAACACACTACCTAACAAAGTTGTCACCATGTTGTATGTAAACTTATATAAACACACTACCTAACAAAGTTGTCACTATGTTGTACGTAAAATTACAGTTATACCCTACCTAACAAGTTTATTTTAGTTGTCATTGTGTTGTATGTAAACTAACATAAACACACTACCTAACAAGTTTCTGTTAGTTGTCATTGTGTTGTATGTAAACTAACATAAACACACTACCTAACAAGTTTATCTTAGTTGTCATTGTGTTGTATGTAAACTTACATAAACACACTACCTAACAAGTTTATCTTAGTTGTCATTGTGTTGTATGTAAACCTACAGTCACTCTCTACTTAACAAGTTTATCTTAGTTGTCATTGTGTGTTATATATAAACTACCTAACAAGAGTTCGTGTTAGTTGTCATTGTATGATATGTAAACTTGCCGTTATTGAGGCACGAGCTGAGAGCTCCGTAAATCGTGATTATAAGACGAAAGTTTTAAGAACAAAAGATATTACATTCTGCTGTTACACAAAGTCAACAAAACCTTAATTTGTACAGCCATGACAACATGTGTTCTAAATTTAATCTACTATTTAGTTTTTCATTATTTTCTCTGTCGTCCGAGAACTACATTCTTATCTCATAGCGCAGCCTTTTTACTCCGTCATGAACAACAGCTTATAGTACTGGTTAACTCATCTTGAAGATAGGGGTGGGGAGGGCGGAATGCCGCTAACAGATTATGAGGTCAACCACTTGTTATAACTAAACAAAGAGAATACTTTTATCACGAGCAAGTGCAAAGCTCCGGCCCCAAGTCACGACCACTCAATTCAAACTAGAAGGACGAAAAGGTTGTCAACCTACAAGATGAACGCTAAGAAAAATAACAACCAGTTGTTTGTCTTACATCTCATGTTTCTAATAGCGATACCATAAGAAAATGAGTCTAACTCTTACAGGTATCAACGCATCAATATCATAACTTCTCCACCTTGTTATCGCGGGAAGATAACTAGACAGAAAGTTATAGAATATCCAACAAATTATTTATTACGTCTGTAACAGAGTAGACCGTAGAACCGCTTTAACGAACTACAGTGAGAAAAGAAAAATCATGGCTATGATGGATAACATATTTAATATTCGGACGTTTCAAGACATACTTATCCCCGTCATCAACGATCTGTAAATACATCAAATAAAAGATGGTACCAATTCATACATAATTGTAATACATTGTTTTCATAGATACATCGATGTAATATAACGAAATTAAAGAAAGAAAACATAACAATAAATGTTCAAAACGGGCATTAAAAAAATCCAAATTAAAATAATAATACCAGTTGTGGTTGTTGTTACGTTCTATACATTCACTGTCTATTAACAAACTTTCGTTTCTAAGCAATTTCTAGTTAAATAGTCTGACGCCAAAATTCTGAAGTTATTTATAGAGATGTGACGTTTTCACTCTTCCCTATGTAGCTGTATTTTCCCTTTCCTGCTGGTACCATCCTTGAGGTACTAGATGTCGCTGTGTGAACTGTTAAGTGCTCTGTTCGTTCGTTTCAGTACAATAACAAAAAAAAACAAAAAAAAACAATCAGAACAAATCACGGGATGAGTTACTGGTAGATTTTTTGTTATACTATTATTTTTCAGTTTCTTTTGTTTGTGACTGTTCTCAGATTTCAAACGAATTTAAATCTTTATTTGAGAGAAAGAGAAAAAACAAACACACGTAATTTGTAACATACAATAAAGAACTAGTGTGTCCTGTGTTTGGATACAGAAACAAATTTCTTGTTTCGTCTACACACTTTAGTATCTTATACCAGAACAATATTTATTAATAAGATTTATTCGGTATGTAATGATAAAAACATACTAATAAATTCTAATAAGATATACGTATTATAAAACAAATGTCAAAATACATTCATGAACACGGGTGCATACTGAGAAAAAACCAGTTAAAGAGAACGTGAACACAGTTTAATTCTATTATAGTTTTATAATACAACCATAATTGATGTAATTACCAAGGAATTTTCTTCATTGCTAGGAAAAAATACAACTAATGTTTTCAAATATTTCTAATTTTTAACCGATAAATCTTAGTATTGAAGCGCCAATTCCATTAATCAAATACAAGGGTTTAGGCATTGCGGATCCGATTTGTATAGAGTTCAGATGTAACTGTAGGTTGGAAATATTAATATATTCAAACAGGGTTTCTTCCTCTTCTTTATCTCTTCGCTATATGATTTGCTACAGGGAGATTACCCCCTTTTTTCTTAGTATTGTACAGGTTTTGAGATCGAGTGTTTTAAAATTATGGAACTGTATTATCTAGAATGGTACTTATTATATGTTGATTTTTAGTTGCTTGATCAATGAAGGATCTTGAGTTGTTTATCCCCACAGATAGAGGTTCTGGACTGGAAAAGTTCGAGAACCCATGGTATAGTTTGTTTGAGTTATAACTGGTTTTTATATCGACTACAGACAAATAAGTATAACTAAGTAGCGTCTTGAACAACGGTGTTCTTCACAATATTAGCTGTTCTTCTATCACCTTAACGTTAAGCTACCTTACTGAAACGAAAATATTACACTATTATTATCAGGAACAAATACACGTATTACGTAAATAACAAATCCTACATTATCACGTATCCACTAACGGTTCAGGATGATACGTATCAAAAGTGGTAATTAAAAATTAAATAAATCCAACACGTGCTTAGTGAAAATTAATATTTTCCTTTCTAGTTTTATATTAATTAAAAATATTCCAGCTACTGTTGTGCTTTCATTATCAAGCACTGCGATATAACAAAACTATAAACAACTACGAGTAAAACATTAATGAAGTGATGCTGTTTTAATAATTCAGTTACTTATAATGCGATGATGCTTTAAAAGGAAAACAACATCTGATAACTTATAATAACGTTCGCGTCTAAATCTAGATTCCCTAGATGGACATACAACCAATTCGAGCGACGCCGCGTGGAAGAACCATCTCACAAGAAAACTGTTTTGCTGTGCCTCTAGTTTGAAAACCTTCCAACATTCTGCCATTACTGAGTAACAAACATTAACATAGCCACTTTCGTGACGTAATTTCGTGGAACAGCCAGAATAAGTGGATAAAACAGCTGCTAAAATGATCTAAAATTAAGAGTTCTTTTGGCCCACTGGCCTACTGATACAAACCTGTTACTACTTCAGTCTCATTCTCCAAAGCACACCCACCTCTGGAGGTGAGTTATCATGACATTATTACAATTAATTTAGTGAACAGTACATGCGTAAAAATATTCATATACTGCAGAAGGAACTTATCATATAGTTTAGAAGTGATTTCATGTGTATCAGATTTCACAAAAAAAAATTACAATGACAAAAGTTTAACTATCTTTTTGTAAACAAATATAAATTCTTCACTTGTGTACACGTAAACCTCTGTACGAAATTAAACGTGTACAAACTGGTTTTATGGTTGATATCCATCTTTTCTGTCGGTTTTAAATAATGACAACTATAATTAACGATTAGTGAAGAAAATGATACATCACCCGAAAGTTATAATTATTGCAACCTTTTCTAGCACTGCAAAATCAAATCGGAAATAAACATTACACTTTATGAAATTATATTTGGAATTCACTCACATAATCAATTTTCGCAATATTTAAAAGTTAAAGGAATAACAATAAACATGAAAGACAAAAGCTGACGAATGTTCGTTGTGTTTGCCAAATGGAACACGGACAGAATCGTGTCTATTTACTCGACTAACTTACCACAGTAAAACAGGTTTTCATACCGCATAAGAATGTTCACATACGTATAACGAAACTGCATGACCCTGACGAGGTACGAAACTCAGTGCCGCTGAATACCCAAGCCTATCAAGTGTTGTGGTGTATTCGTGTACTTCCGTATCACGTACAAGACGTAACGCGGAGGGCAATAAATGGTACATCATTATCTCAAAAGATGTAACTAGCAGCGTTTTAATAACCGTCGAATGAAACATGTCCTAATCTCTGTTCATACACAATACGGGTCCAAGGTTACATTTCATATTTTGAATAGAACATTTTTTGAAAATTATTTAACGAAGATAGTGCTTGTCTAAGAATACCAAACAAGTTATATCTGAAGTAGGCCTAGGGCTAAAACATTGTACAGTTAATGCATTTAAGATAAAACCTTATGAAAAACTCCTTGCACAAAACTGCATTTACCACCAAGAAGTAACGGTTATAATATATTCCGAAAATATGAGCGAACAAAATAAATGTCACATTGGTTGTATCTTCTGGCATAAAACAGCCTTATTGCGCTTTGTTTTCAAACATTTTCGAAAGGTTTAATTAACTTCGTTAGCAGTTTCATCATGAAATTGTTGTGTTCAGAGACGTAACCTTGGTTTCAAACTCAAAGGTAGAGGAAAAGATGTTTGTTATATGCTTTTGCAAGATTTTTTTTTCTACCCGTCCCTTTTTCTGACGCATTCTGCAGATGTGTGATGGATATAGTTCTTAATCTACCAAAAAAGTATTCTGGGCAAAGAAAAAAAAAACAACATCTATATTATAAGAGTGAAATTAAATATTTTTAATATTAAAGAGTTTTAATTTTTAAAAAAGGTCTTCCATATTTTCTAAGTCTGATTATGACGGGTTTGGCACACCTATAATATTTAAATCTCGTCTAAATACCCAGTTGTCATTGGTTTCAAGTACTTACTGATTTTGGAACTTACTTTTACTCTTCGAAACAATTCCAAGCAAAAATAGAAAGAAAAAAAGCAGACGTCTATAATATGAAAGAAAGGTCATCTAGGTTAATACCATTATTAACACGTCCAAAAATTCTGGAGCTGACAAACTAGGTTAATGGAATAATTTGTCCATCTACAAATGTCCAGAAAACGTTGGCGCTAGCTGCCAGAGCACTGACCTGTAGACTTTCACAATCTATCTTAAGCCGGGTATTGATTGACCTCAGGTCCTTATTCGCCTTCTCTGCTTGCTCCAGCTGGGCTTCTAGCTCAGCTTCTAATTCCCGACTTCCATCTTGAAACTCCTGCAGTTCCACCTGGCTGTCCTTCCATCTGAAACGTCAATACAATATTTACTATATAATTCATGCAAGCTAAACAAAAAGACATAGTAATCGAATCTTACCGCTCTGTTAGTATAAATTTAATATGTAATATCAACATATTTCTGCTACTAAACTTGTACGCATTGACCACTAATTCAAAGTGCACTCAATATACCTTTTATCAACGACATTTTGCCTTGTATTAATTATTCGTACAAAATCAGGTCGATAACTATAAAAGTATAAACATGTTCTAGTAAAGCTCACACAAACACGAGTCATCTCTGTCATTGTCACATTTAAATTTCATATATCTTTCTGAAAATGATACACACAGTTCTGCTTGCAAAATGTGACTGTAGAAGTCACAAGAAAGCTGATTAAAAATGTTAGCTTCTTAAAACTAACCTAATACTATTTCCATTGGTTACTTTTTTATCGATATTACCCCTTATATAAAGCCAAGTTTATCACACACACAACTTTGAAATTTATTACAACTAATATCATACGTACAGAATTCTTCAAAACAAATGCGACAAACGTGTAATAAGAAGCCAAGCCATGAACTGCGTAAGAGCACGAAGAGTTACTAAGAGAGAGAGAGAGAGAAAGAAAAAAACGTCCTATTGGTACTAAGACGTCTGAATATCTACAATGATGGTAATCTTCTTCTTGTTTTTCCGATACTCTGGTACAAAAGTAATCATTACTGTTATTGCATACAGTATATAATTGTATACAATTTTAGATTGTTCTTCCATGAAGTGAATTTTATATATTTTAAACAAATTCGCTTTATATTTATTAGGTATATTTTGTCCTATACATGCACTGTATGTTTGGAATATTGTTTAACACAATGTGGAATTACTGTCCACACGTATTGCATACTATGACAAATGTTCAATGGACGTATACATATGGGTTTTTCAACATTCAAATTGAGCATCATAACCCTTATGAAAACAAGAGAAAATCATATATCCATTATAATAAAACTCGGTTTTTTTTTTCTGCCCTGAAAATGCGCGTGCGCTTTACTATCTAAATGCGCATGTGTGCGCAATTGATTTCAACGAATGTAAATATACTTGACTTGACAATTTGTACAACATATTAAAGGTTTATCAAAGATTTTAAAAAGGGCTAACGTTAGGTCGTAGAATAACATTATGTGTTTATTTATTGATAGTATTAAGTACGGTGAAGTTTAGCCCTAACTAAACTAAAGCCAAAAACGTGCACAAATTACAGTGTTAATTTACTTCTTTATCGAATATAAGCCATGCTTAATAAAGGCTTAACTAATGTTAGGCCTAAACAAGTGGACTTGTAAGTTGTAGATTTCGATGTCTACGACTAGAATTATCTTATATTATTCTAAAAATCCTGTATTCCTGTAGAAGTACTAATTTGACCACACATGTTTTACGGGTCTCTGCTGGTGTGTGTGTGTGTGTGTGTGTGTGTGTGTGTGTGTGTGTGTGTGTGTGTGTATATATATATATATATATATATATATATATAGACACATGCACACAATGTACAAAAAAGCCGTCTACAATGGCACAGTAACCTATGTAAACCTATGTTTCATCATGCAGCGCATCTCCTCAAGTATTGGTACTACGCAGCTCAGTATCAGCCACAAAATGATTGACTCACTACTAAGGCCACTAACTAACACTAATTTGTCCGATACTTTCATTGTACGTGTAGTTTGACTAACGAGATTTGCTCCTTTGAAAATCTTCAAGTTGTTTAATCCATTAAAGAGTAAGGGTCATTCACTATAATTACAAGAATCAATGCACAATAAGTGTTTATAATATTATGCCCTGTGGATCCTTGATTCCAAATTTTCCACATGATAAACCATGCAGAAAGTTTTTCCTATTTTAGTTTTCTTTTTTATGACGCTGTTCCCATGAGCAAGAACAGACAGTTCTAATTCTCTCTCTATGTCTTCTCTTTTATATTCTTCACTATTGTTCTGAAAATGAAAACAGTTTTCGACTGTGATAAAGTACATTCATTTGTTAGTCTGGAGTTCTATTTTTTATTTACGAAAACAGTAAATAAAAGAAGCATTAAACAACTTTAACGATACAGGAAAGAAATGCGTTGGCTGCCCTAAATATTTTGTTTAGTAGTAGCAGAAAAAAAAAAAAACTTTTTAACGTGTAAATTTTTTCTCGTAAGTATTCATTTTCATCCGGTCGATAAAAATTAATTTGAGGGATTTTAATAAAATATTGGTTCTTCCCACGTGTTTTTCAAGACTGTCCAAGTTCTATAAAAATAATAAAAGTACTAACACACTGATTCTTTAAAAAAATGTACGCATAATGTTTTTATAATCGATTTAGGAGTACAGTTTACTGCGTATCTATATAATTAAAAGAGTAACGTTTGTGCATGCGTGGAAACGTAAACTTCATTAAACTATACCAAAATGAAATTAGGAGTAGGGATATAGGGAAGACATCACTATAAACGTAAGTGGTGGGTGGGTGTAGATAGTACTATGAATTACAAAGGGAAGGGATTTAAGAAATGGATCTGTCATCCCTCAGATCCCCATCTAAACTTGCAGTTGTTTATGTGTTAAGGTTTTGTAAGCGAATTTCTTCATTTGTTTATAGACACTTAAGAGTACTGTACCGTCATCCTGTTGAGTTTTAATACTTGTTCCAAATACCCAGGATTCGAAAGCGTCGCTAGATCTGGTGTCTCTTAATATGTAACTCGATTGGTTTGTCATTTTTCAATCAGATCATTCGGCTCAAAGTTTCTTTTGTACTAGAGGTGTTTAGTGGTTATCACGTGTTGTGGAATATGTTTCACCCACTTAGGTTTAACCTCGCAGTCACCGAGACGCCCCGCACGACCATCCGATTCGTTCAAAACTCTACATGCCTAACCTCATATACGAGTAGTCTACACAGGTCACTTAGCTGTTTTAATTACTTTAAATACATAGCATTGCCTTTACATTTTATAAACTTTGCGTATTTGGATATAAAATATCACAACCGAAAAAATATTTCTTACGCAATGCGCGAGTTTTCTACCTAGTAATATTTATAATTTTGACTATGCATATGTGTTAATGGATATTAAATATACGAAACCGTTCTATATCTAACCCATGCTTATACAACACTGGAAAATGAGAGGCTTAAAAAGAACTACAATATTTTCAATATTATGACTATACGAATTCCCTAATAAAACAATCCCTTACTCTACTTTCTGTGTCTGGCAGAGGATTTTTTTTACATGTATTAGATTTTTCTCTGTACTTGAAATTTTAATTTTTCTCACTTGTAACCGTTCACCGTGTTTTGATGGAGTTTCAAACAGGTTGTTCTTTACTTTGTATGTTCAGGACATACATAAATCTTGCTCAAATATTTGGTTAAGCCGTAAATTATTGTAGTAAAAAAATATTGACACGGTTCTTGATGAAATTACCATTTTTCCCAAGCACCCTATATGCCTTTAGGCAAAAGTAAAAGTTAGCTTGCAATAACAGGTTATTGTTAACCGCGACCATCTGTTTCATTGCCAGACATGATACACTAAGTGAAATTTCTAACACATCAGGTAATGCGATCAGATAATCTGAGCAGTTGGGTTTATTCCTTTTAGAAGTTTATTATCACATATTTGAGTTTGATAAAACACGGTAATGATACACGTGTGTACAATATTCGTTATTGTATACTATTTTAATACTTTTCTAGGCTTACGGCAAAGTTCCTTAACATACTCAGTTCCAACAAGTCACCTATGTTTAATAATCCCCATGGGCTGTTTCAATATAGATCATGCATTGATACATAAACCTAGAAACTCAAAATATGTTACACCATCTTTCAACATGACAAACAATAACATTACACTTATTTAGGCCATTCAAAGAACAACTCAACCAGTAAAAATTAAAACATACTTTCTACAAATACATGTTAAAGCAGATATTCAACAAAATCTGTGACAGTTCTTTGTTTGGTAACAATCAGTCTAGTAGTTAGCCAGTTATAAGCGGGGTCTCTCTCTCACACACATACACAAACTTTTTTTTTCTAAATAATGATTTACACTTAAAAATTAGAGACAGCATAATGGCATGACAGTTTATTCCGACTGCTTTAAAGCACCCAGTGCTTCTTATGTTTACACCGACATCTAGGTTGATATTAGAAATGAGCACAGAAGCAGTTCAATCGCGTTCGTAAGGGAGAAAATATATAATTTCTGTTTTCCTAGTGTAACGCTAGAGACCGGGTTTCGGTACCCGTGGTGGAAAGAGCATAGATAGCCCTTTGTGTAGCTTTATGCTTAATTACAAACAAATATAAATATACATACATATATTTATTTATTTCAATGGGAAAAATTCCTATAATGATTTACATTTAAAGCTTAGAGGCAGCATACTGGCATGACAAGTTATTCCGACTGTTTTAAAACATATCGTACATCTTCATACAAAAAACAAAAAAGGAGAGAGACGAAAAGTATTGAGTTAAAATAGATATATATATAGAAAATCAATAATCAAACAGTCAAGCAATACAAAATCAGAAGAAAGGACTGCGTTAAAAACAGCAAATCCAAACCTGTGATAAATGACATACAAATGAACAAAAACAAGCCCAAACAAAAGTCAAATAAAAACGCTGCATAAACCAATTTAGATAACCTGGTTGGGATGTTGTACTAGTGTAATTTGTCTACAGTGCTACTAATTAGTGCTTTACTACTACAATGGGGGCTGGAATGCCAACCTCAGGAGGTAAAATTACCTTATTTACCTCCCAAGTGGTAGTACCTTACTTTGTCTTTCATTATTTTTTTTTTATTTTACTTTGGAGAGTAATCACCTTCCCACAGCTGTCTGCGTGAAGGGTGATATAGATGTGAGACGTTGTGGACTAGAGCACCCACATCTCGCTCTCCCAATTTCTAGTTTTGATTTTTTTTTTTTTGAATTTCTTCACGTGAGACTAGCGAACGGAGGTTAAGACTGATGATATACGGTGTATCCCCACCGCAATATATAGGGATTGTTTTCACGTTGAAATAACGCTGCCAATACACAACGCTATATCCGATGAGCTGTGACGCAGAGTAAGTCGCTTTTAAATAGCATTTTCAGAAGACATCTTCATACAAAAAAAAAAAAAGGACAGAGAGATGGGGGGGGGGGAGAAGTAATGTTTAGTATTATTTTTATTGAGAGTAAATTTTGGTGGATTTCTTTTCTCCAAAAACACAAATGTGGAGCACTCGTTTGTAATCTTAAGCCTTTCGTGCTCAAATCAATATATTAAAAGAGGCACTTTGTGTGTGTGTGTGTCTGTGTATATATACATATATTTTTTTTTTTATTTATTTATTTATTCCAATTTATATTCTTCCCTTGTTGAAAAAAATAAATTATTGTTAAGAGTCACATTAAGTTTCTTTCTCTCTTCGTTAGGAGTTATTTTTTCACAAAGTCAGTAAATGGAAGAAGACTCAAAACAAAATTTATGTTAATCAATATGACTGCACCATAACTTTTCTACAAAAAGAAATCGCTTCCTAGACAGTGTAGTCTAATATTTAATGCATAAACAGCATGTGTGTCGGTTTTAGAGAAAATATATTTTAACAATAGTACACATATAGCATTTCGACTACTGTGGAGGAGGGGGAACGAATGTAATTATATCTCCCCCTATCCACCTTATTCGAAGAGATTCTCAGAAAACAGTGGGTTTCAAGATAAAATGGTATTCAAGGCTTGGGAAGGGTGCATTAACTACAACATAAAAATACTTCACTCTGATAGACACTGAACAAATTATCGATTTGGGAAGATGTATGGCAACATTATAAATTGTGGCTTCATAATATATAAAATGATCAGTTTCTGTATAAATAGATTTATTGATAATGACAAAACATTTATCGGGTAATCTGGGGACAAATAAGGCCCATTCTTCGACGCGGTATATAAACTACTAATAACAACCCCTTGTAACGTTTATATGAAAAACCTAAGTTCAGAGCTCCCTACTACGTACACAGCGAATTATTTATTTATTTTTGCCTCTGATACCTTTAAAACCAAAAGTCTGTGGGGATTGTCGTAGGTATCGTTGTTCAAACAATCACCTAGACTGTTTGAAACATTACGGAATGTAGGTCAAGAGTCCTAACTTTGCGAAATCGAAAGACAGGTATACATCTAATATCTGTCTGTGGAGGCTGTCTCAAGAATGCTTTGTGTAATGTTTCATCTATACTGGTCGAAATATAGAGGAATTGCAGGCAAAAAAATCCTATTTTGGACCTTTAAATCTTGTAAAACTGCAAGAAAGGCACGAACCCCAAATCTATTTTAGTCTTGGGGTGTTTCGTAGAGTAGTGTAGTGCAAAGAATCACATAGATCAATCAAAATATGAAGGAATTCCATGTGTAAAGCTCTAACTATGCAAATTGTTTTATCTTTTACCCTTTTAAATCCAATGAAAAGCACACATGTCCGTTTTAGTCTGTGGAGCTTGTCGCGAGGTATATGACCTCCAAGTTTCAAGACAATGGGTGTCAAGAAATAAAGTAGCTGCGTACAATTGTTAGTACTGGAAAAAAAGAAGAGAGAGAGAGAAACATAGGAACTTATTTCAGCGTTGCTACCATTATTAGACCCCATTCTTTAAAGCCCTAAATAAGAACTGCGTAATCATTGTTATTTATGTACAAATAAAACTCGGAAGTTATTGTTTGCTTTAATAAATAAACGATATATCGTCTCATGAAACATTTAATTATGAAGCTTAGTTGAGTTTAAAAGTTTCACGCTAAATGTCAAAGCAAGAGGTATATAATAATAAGCAACTTGTTGATACAATATATCGTTCGCCTGCTTGCTTTAAATTTAAGTACCATTTAGACAATAAAATATCCTAAAAATTGTGTTATGTTTAACCCTACGTTCGTACCCTGTTTTGTTTTGTTTTTCTACCCCAAAAATTTTTAAACAATCTCACAAATTGATGGCAGCACTGAGGTCTTTGCTCTTCCTAGTAGCTTCCTAAAACTGCCAATAGAATACACACCTAGTTTCTCCCATTTCTACCCTCAACTGAACTGAGAACAACACTTGGTTTCTTGTGGCTTGGGGAGCAAAATACCCCAAGGTACTAAACCAAGGTATGTTTTCCAAGATTAGCTATCTCTTTATTATTTGTCATTTATGATACAATAAGAGTTTTTAGAGCTTATACGTGTCAAGTAAGAAGCAATATTTGCTTCAGCAAAGATTTTTGCAGAGTATTAGGTTTTTATGAGGGCAATTTCTCAATTTCTTATTTTATTACATTGAAGATGGATGGTGACAGTGAAGGCGAGAGAATTAGGCAGATGTTGGCTGACTGTCCCAATGATAGTTAACCTGAGGACGATAGTGAGGGTGAATATGATCAGCTTGAAGACAGTCAGATCACAGTCAAGTTTATATCCAGTGCTTTCAGTGTCAAATGATGGTATCACATACAGAAGATTCTGAGTAAGCAGTTAGGTTAGATTAAATGTAAGGCATTTTTATTGATGTTAGCCAACAAATGATGTTTTTAGTTCAAAATAATTCATAGGAAGATGTTTAGATAAAAACAAAAAACTTTTTCAATCATGTATTTTTTTGTAAATAAAGTGATAACAAGTATCAACATCTGATATTTTCCATCATTCCTTTATTAACACTACCAAAACATAAAACAAAAAGAACAACATTCTATGGTATAACTCATAAGATGTTTACCATAAATGTACACATAGATAGATTAACAATCTAATAAAACTTTTTGGTGTGGGGTGTAGCGCAATCCCAGGGTACGAAAGTTTTTCCATACAGCATGGGAACTAACGCAGGTTTAAGAATTAAAGGTGGCCTCAATAAATTTTAATTTCGTAAGCAAGTTTCAATTAGAATTACTACTACATAAATACAAACACGCGTGTGTCTTATTTTCAACCATAATACAAAACTATCGGAACTGAAACACTATACATTTATGATTTTTAATACAAAACTGTGCATCTCTCGTACATCATTTCTATTAAAGTTGACTACACAAACACTCTCTGGAGTTCAAAACAATATTTTCATTTTTCAAAACAGGGCTGTTGCTTTCATTAAAAAACGTTACTATTTAATACATTTAAATGTATTGAAGTACACCACTAATAATGTTCATCCTGCAATAAAGTTTAAATGTAGGCTTAACTATACACACAAATGTTATTGTTAGTGATGTGACTTTTGTTAAAAATAGTATCTGTATGCACATATCTTTTTATATTGTCATACTTCAAACACTGATAATTTCGTTTAAAAAAGTCACAGAATGAGAAAGAAACGTGACATTTGACGTTTAGTATAAATCATCAGTTAAAACATAAGCTACTTACTTTTTCATAAGATCTAAAGCCACCTTTTTAAAATAAGCAGCTTCATCTTTTGATGATGAGAAACTCGGGATTTCCTCTTCCATGTTTACGTACGCTTGGTTCAGCTCACTGAGATAGTTCGTCAGTGACAGTGCTGCTAGTTCAATTTCAAAGTACAGTACAGCAATTAACAGTAAATTTACTAATTTTTTACCTAATACTCTAAGATATCATCAGTTGTTTTTTGCGGATTACTCACAAGTGATAATTCATAAAATTCGAAACTGGGAATCTTTAAAATATTTAGTAATGGCACTTCCCTTCGCTTTAAAGAAGTTTGTTAGGCCTAAGCAGATACTACAAAATGTACGCGTTGCTATGTCGATTGACTTGATTCTTTTGCGGCCTGTAGAAACACAGTACACGCAAAACCAGCATTGGCCAGTTAAATCTACCAGTACAAGGCGTTTCTACGTCACTATCCCGCTGACGCTTCCTACAGGAGTGACGAATGTATTTAGGTTCAACGGAAAATAAAGCAACGACTTGTATGACTCGCTTGAAGCAAAATAAATAGCGTATACACCTTCCCTTTAGCGGCAGCGTAAAATCCGGATCGCTAAACAGCGTTTGCTGTCTCAGATATACATGAAATCCTAACATGTAAAGGTTTTTACGTGAACACTGTTTAAAGTGCAGCTTTCTTAACGAATAGATCTAGTATACCCACGATCTTAGAAAGCTCGACAACCTGTCTGTAGTGATTCAAGCTCACTTTCCTTGAGTCCACCACTAGGAGTAAAAGGTAGAAAGAAAATTATGTGGGCATGGAGTTATAAACAAAAAAAAGTTAAAATAAAATTTGGAATAATGATTGGCGCTCAATCCTTAAGTGAATTTTTAAAGGTACATTGTATTCTTTCAATTCATTGAAGCATTCATTTTCTTTCGTAAATAATACATTTAAACTGACAAAAAGGTTTCTATACATATTAGAACCATTTATACTGTGTCATAGGTTTCGTGTGATAATAGGTCTTTTTATCATTAAATAAAATAAATTCATAATATAAAAAACAAATAATGCTTTGCTTGCATGAATATCGGAATTTGTCTTAATATTTGTATTTTACAGAATAGTAATTTACCAATCTAAGTCATATATTAGACGAAAATAAAAACGCATTCAAATATGCAAATACACTTTTCTTGAAATGTTTTTCTCATGCCAATGTCCTCCGGTGAGACATCGGTAAGTTTATGGAATTACGAAGCTATAATCCGGGGTTCGAGCCTCCCGCGGCAAACAGAGCGCAAATGGCTCTGCATTAAGGAAAAACCGAAACAACTCGTGCCAATATATTGTGATTACATTTTTCACTGTTAAATTGCTATATAATCAGCATTATGTCCTTTTTTTATTTTGTATACCAAGTGTGCTTTCTGCTTGAGTTTCTAAATACAATGATACTGTGGTATTCTGAGTTGAAACTAATTTCTACACGAGTATTCATTAGCTCGCTTTATAACAGTAAGACCGATCAGGAAAATCACAGACTAAATCTGAATTTAGTTAAGTGACTGAGTTTTAAGTTAAGAAAATAAACAGACTGGACATGATGTAAAGTGTAAAACAATATTTATTGTTACGTAAAGCGCAAAACACGATGTGCATGCTTTCAAAAATACTGGACTAACGTCTCCTGCCGGATTTGTGAATCAACCAATAACTATTGTCTCTCAAAATGTCTTTTCGACGACTAACTCACTTTGAACTATGTCAATTTCAATCCAATATTTCGTACTTAACAAGAAGCATCAGATTTACCCATAACGACTAACTCTACCACGTGACTGTTGATTCTCATGCAACATAGTGATATCATCTACTTGACCAGTGAAAAACACTGTTGTCATTGGCCTGTTTGCATAATGTACAATGTTGCAGCAATAAATCCGTGAGTAGAGCAGTTATTATTTATTAGAGAACAACAAAGGAACAAAGGTAACTCGAATGAATATAACTCAACCGTTTTCTGGGCCATATGTTTATGCAAAAATTGCATAGAAAGAGACTACATAAAAAGTTTTAAAAATTTCTATATTAAAATAATTAGGTAGAAAATGCATGGCGTGCTTGCATACAATAAAACTTCTGTGATAATGTAATGACTGAAATAATCATGAATTTCACCACCACTGCCCACAACTAGTATACATTATTTTACAATAAAGTTTAAATACACACTAACGAAACAATACTGAAGAAGATGTGAAATATTGAAACTAGTATCCATATAACTTTTATATTGTTCCACTGGTGTGAATTCAAACTTTATTGTAAATTACTGGTAGTATACATTAGTACATCTTTATTCAGGTATACTCACGTTAATCATGTACTATTCTTATACATTTCTATGCAGTTTCTTTTTGTAATTAATCACATCCCTGCTAACCAATGTCTCAAGGTCGTAAAAACATGCTAATCTTTTTACACAGGTAAAAGTTACATACTGCAACCGTTGCCCTCGAATCTGAAGTTAGCATTTATGTGTTTCTGTGTAGACTTTTATTGAAAGCAGCTTATTCAGACAGATAAAACTTTAAACCTGGGTTGGCTTAAGATTGTGTTTTAAGTATGTAACCTGTGGACTTTTGGAACACCTGATCTTAATTTTAATTTTTTGCTAGAGTATTTATATAAGGTATTTCCAGAGTTGTGTCTCTGGTTCTTCATCTCTCTTGTGGTTTTGCTTTTCTTGACCACAATAACCAGATGATACTGAAGAAGAAGCCTAGCCACTGTTTAGTAAGTAAATATTTTTTGTGTTTCAAACTACACTTGTGTTTGGTTGTTTTCCTGTACTTTCCATATTCAATTTAATTTTCCTTTAACAGCCTGCATTTTGCAAGAACTTCTGACTCTTCTGCTGCATATCAGCGGACTTGAATACTACAGGTAAGTTAAAAAGTAGCATTTTGGTGCTGTGAGCAAAATATTTTTTATTGCTGAATTTATTTTGAACACTAGCAGAAATACCAGCCCTACGGGCAGGTATAACTACTAGTTCTTGCGGAAGGCTATTGTCTGACAGTTTTACAACAATGTACTCATACTTGACATTTAATAATGTTCACCTTCCATGAGAAAAAGGATTTTTATTGAAATTTTAGTTTAAAAATGAGCTATCATCACAGCATTACATCACAG